GAAATTAGATTAGTACTCTTTGTCATTTGGAGTTGGAATGCTTCAGGAAGTGATGGAATATCCACAGAAATATGGCAAGCAACAAAAGGAGAATCAGTAAGGATTCTAATCAAGTTATGCCACCAAGTCTGGAGAACATCACAGTGACCAACAGATTGGAAGAATAAACAGAATAACAGAGCTGGAATGGACCTTGGAGGTCTTCCAGTCCAGCCCTGTGCTCCAGCAAGTCAGTTTACATACCAATATCAGAGAAGAGAGTCTTAACAATAGTGCAAACTATCACTCAGTGTCCTTAATTTCATATATTAGCAAAATAATGATTACAAACATCCAACATATATTACAACCGTAGTTAGAAAGGGTGATGCAAGATGTTCAAGTTGATTTTAGAAAAATCCAAAACAAAAATCTTTGTCTTTAAGTATGCTATCAGTTTGCTTCAATTATATTGTTTTAATTGATATTGCTTTTGCTTGTTCATTAATTGCCTTCAATGCTGTCTGTTAATGCAAAGGCTAGACATGAATCTTATTAAAAAATTATGGAAATACTCTCGACGTTATTATGACGTTTATGAGAGTTCAGTCCAAAAGTAATTTTTAAAAGACAAACAGACTGCAAATTTATTCTTAATTTTAATACTCTCTTTCTTTGTTACAATCAGAATTTAATGACGTAGGAAAATATAGGAATAACAGCCAACTAAAATGACAGTGTCGCTGTAGAGTTGCTAGGAGTGACAAGATTCAGGGGCAAGATAGGGAAGAGGAGGTGCTATAAGACTAACTTAATTTGGTTTATTGACAACTTTTCCCATTGCTAGTTTGCTTCTTAGACAGTTCCAAGACAACAAAGATGCCAGGAAACAAGAGATTTCAAAAGACTGCAATTGAACGATACAGCAATGTAAAATGAGAGGGAGATTAAATCAAAGTACTTCCAGTATTTTTTTTAATTCCCCATTTATAATAATTGTCACACAGGATATGAAATAATGAAAGTGATCTGGCTAAGACACTTGTCACCCTATTGATCTCCAGGGTTGACAGAACTGTATAATACCAACACCCTGTTGGTGAAGAATAAAAATATAATCAATGAAAAATGAATCTCCCTAGGTAGCATTCTCCATCTTCTTTCTCCAGTGTTTTGTAGTCCCATTATTATGTATCCCTTTTGCATATTTATAAGCTCAACACTTCTTTCTTAGAACATCTTTCCTTTGTTCTACCAGAGGGATGCCTTGCACCAGATCAGAATGTACTGGTATGTAGTGCAGATTTTAATTGAAATGGCTTTTTTGATCTTTTCATTTGAATTGTGTTTTTTATCCATAGTGCATGATTCAGCTGCACTGAAAGCTATTAATGGGCAAAAAGCAAGATGTAATTGTAATACATAAAAAGTACACTTGTCAGTGATGAAACATTGATGGTAGTTTCCCAGGCACTAAGTATATACTTCATGACAAATCTGGATACTTCATGACAAATCTGGAATTATTGCTCTGCAATGCCTGTCTGTCTGTCTGTCTGTCTGTCTGTCTGTCTGTCTGTCTGTCTGTCTGTCTAGATCTAGATCTAGATCT